GCAAAGCCTCAGAAGCGCGGGAACCCGCCCGGTGCCCCTGGTCTGCTGGAGACAGTCTCCAGCAGACCAGGGGCACCGGAGCAGCTTACGAACGGGGCTTTCTCGCCCTGGAGCTCAGAGGTAGCAATCCGCTACCTCGACCTCCGGGGCGAGAGCCCCGTTCGTAAGTGCGGATCCGACATAAGTCGGATCCGCGTAAGTCGGGGACTGCCTGTACTAGACTGTTCTGAACTCATGCAGGCATCACTGACAACAGTGATGAGTTACTTTTCCACACGGGACATCCTAGAAGATATAACAGAAACACCACTGTTCATCATTTTTAAACTTCTTGTAGCTGTACAACACAGACTTCTCTTTATACAAGTGAGTTTTCCTTCCCCCTCTAAAGATTAAAGGAGGCTATAATGAAATAGGATGTTACTAAGCAAAGTACAAGTAACATTTTTTCCTGTTTGGATCCACAGAGAAATTGTTCCAAAAAAAAAATGGAAAGGGTAAAGAAAAAGAGACTGAGTGCATGGCTTCCAGTGCTAATATCTGGGACCTGGAGGGAGTGGAGAATATTTAGGAAACACTCCCTAAGGGCAAAGATGCTGTGACTTGAGGGTGTTGCACTAGGAAACTAGCACTTTCCACCATATGTGATGGATGCTGTGCCTTGGGAAACAAACACAACAATCATTTACACACCATCTTTCATATAAATTACCTCCCAACGAGATTACAGAGTTAAATAACTGCAAAAGAGCAAGTGTTCTTAGGAAAGATTTTCAGGTGAGATTCCAAGAAGTGACAAAGTGGCAGGACTCGTTCTCCAGGAGAGCAGCTAGAACCACCCAGCATGCCCACAGCGTTACAGCGGCTGGGAGACTGGTATTAGACAAAACGAGAGGGGGAAAGAAGCAGAACAGCTGAAGCCTCTGGAGCAAGCCAACAAGCAGACCCACAAATGACACTCGGACCCCCCCGTGCATCCCTCCAACCCACCCACAGCTCACAAACCTGCCCAGCGCCCGAGCCGCTACCTGGCGCCGTCCGCCGGGCGGGGCTGCACGCGCTGCACCTGGGAACAAAGACAGGGAGCGGGAGACAGCGTTCCTCGCCCGCGCTGCCGCCCGGCCGCTCCTCAGCTCAGCCCCCGCAAGCCCGCCCAAACGGGGAGTGCTGAAGCGACAGCGCAGCCCCGTGGGCTGAGGCTGTGCCGCCCTCCGCCCCGCCGCATGGGACAGCGCTGGCGGGAACCCTGAAGCGTCGGCAGGGCTCAGGCCAATGCGCACAAATCAGCCGAAGAGCTGAGGGAAGGGTCCGCGCCGAGCGCGCGCTGGGTCCGCAAGGCACAGCTCTCCTCAGCGGGGGCACTGCTTATGTCCAGGCACCACCCCAGAGCCCGCCTCCTTCAAAGTAAGATGAGAAGAGTGGCAGAGCCACCCTCTCACGCGCACATAGACCATAATCTGAATTCCCAAGGCCGCAGGAGGCAGTGACCCGCCTGGCCTACAGGGATACGGGAGGAGACCATAGGAGGTAGGACCTCAACACTCAAACCATTACAATCTTTGTCTCTTTCACTACAACCACCTTTTTCTAACCTTAAGTTGCTTTACAGTAGAACCCCCATTGTATGAAGTAAGGAGGAACTGAATTACATCAAGTTAATAAAACTGAACATTTTAAATTACAGTAGATGCAACACACATTGCAGCATGCTTTCTTGTGTCAAACTATTGCAAAGAAATTTCAAATGCACTGAAAGAAATTACAGGTTAAAAGTCTGTAGTCCAGACCTGTTCCAGCATGATTTTAATTAGCTGGATGTTCACTTACCATGGGTTTGTCCAAGTTTGTCAAGGTCCTATAGTTTAGTTACAGGCGTCAGTCATGTCTCCCAGTGGCCTGTGTTGCTCTTGCACACTAAAGTTAGCACTAAGGGTACATCTACACTGCACAGCTATTTCAAAATAGCTATCTTATTTCAAAATAGTTATCTTATTTCAAAATAGCGTGTCTACACTGCAGGGAAGCCTCAGAATTAGTTTGAGGTGATTTAGAGGCCCAGGAGACACTGGGGAGGAATAGCCCTGCTATGGGGCTATTTCGAAATAGCAGCAGCGTAGTGTCCACACACACCCTATTTCAAAATCGCTATTTCAGAATACAGACTGTCTCCCAGTTATGAATGAGTTATGGACCAAACACATGGCCGTAACTCGATCTGTTCATAACTTGGACCCCATTGAGTTACACGCGACCACACTGTTCGTAAGTGCGGGTTGTGTTCGTAACTCGGGGACCGCCTTTACGACTGCTCCATGGGAGCTTTAGTCATAAGTGCGAATGGTCTTCCATGAGCCCGAGAAGCACTGAGGGGGTGGTAGTGCTGCTGGACAATACTGACTTGCCAAAGTTCAGCAAATTCTTGTGCAAGGTTTTGCACAAGACAGCTCCCGAAGGTGCCAAACTAGAGAGGCTCAACCTGCACAATGTGAAGGGAGATGAAATTGTATTTGCTTAATATCACTGATTTTTGCCCCAATAGAGAAAAATGATTTACACTAGTTATCCACAGGACCTGTTAATAAAAGTGAGGGGCTGTGTCCAGACTGGCATGATTTTCCGGAAATGCTTTTAACGGAAAAGTTTTCCGTTAAAGCATTTTCGGAACAGAGCGTCTAGATTGGCTCCGACGCTTTTCTGCAAAAGCACTTTTTGCGGAAAAGCGTCCGTGCCAATCTAGACGTGCTTTTCCGCAAAAAAAGCCCCGATCGCCATTTTCACGATCGGGGCTTTTTTGTGGAAAACAAATCTGAGCTGTCTACACTTTTGCCCAAACAGGAGCAGCATAGTATTTCCGCAAGAACACTGACAATCTTACATGAGATCGTCAGTACTTTTGCGGAAATTCAAGCGGTCAGTGTAGACAGCTGGCAAGTTTTTCCGGAAAAGTGGCCAGTCTAGACACAGCCAGGTTGTATTGTAATTTTTAAAAGGGCTTATGCCCATAGTACAGGAAAATGATCCATTCTTCAGGATCACAAAGCTATGGAAGGAAGATTTGACTGAAGAAGGGGTACAAACCTAGGAAAAATGTGTTTTGGATCCAAGCAGTTAGTGCACATTGTTTCCATTAGGAAAATAAATTTGAGTCTGGTATCCCTGGTGCAGTTCTGCTTCATTATTAGAATGGTTGAATACCGGTAGTTTAGTCATACTCTTGATGATTCATCATACTACCTTTGCAGCGCAGTACCAACACTGGTTGCCTGCTGTTGTAATCAGAAGTGCTGACCAGCACCTGGTGACTAAGGAGTGCACTTATGCCTCCTGTACGTAGTCAGATAATGGGTGGTCAGCCAATAACAATTCAGGTAGGAATTTCAAATTGGAAAAGAGGAGTTTTTCTCTGTTTCTTTGTTTGAGATTCAAAGCAGTTTCTTCCCAGACTCAGGGAGATGGGAGACACTTCTCTTTCCAAGGACAGACTTCTTACAATGTGTAAGTAGGGAAGAGTTTAGATAGTCCGTCAGGATTTGTTGTTTTCCTGGTTTGGGGATTTGGAAATAATGTCTGAGCTGTTAATTGTGTTTTCTCTCTTTTATAACTAAATTTTAGCCCAGGGAATTTCCATAAGTATCTAGATCAATTGGTGGCTCTTCCCATCTAGCCACTTTACTATGCTTGCAACTGTAGTTCGGTTCTAATAATAAATGATTGATTGTTTTTCTAATTAACCGGTACTGGTTGATTTTTGTGTCCTGGAAGGTCTGTCTGTGTGTATCTGCATGCCTGACTGAGGGATCAACTACCACAGACTGCAGCATGTTTTCTTTTCAAGCTCTTTTGGGGAAAAAAGCTTGGGTACTCCTGGGGTTGGTTTCAAGTGTCCACCTCAGTTTGTGGATTCAAAAGCACTTGATGGTAGCAATGGATCCCCTCAAATCTGGGTATTAGGATTTTGGGGGGAAGTGTTTGTACCAGAGCCTGTACAGGCAAGGTTTTGGAGTGGTTTTGCAGGCCCCCACTTCTACATTTGTCATGCCAGAATGGGGAACAGCCTTGACAATTGAGAGAGAAAAGTCACCGCACTGGGCATTGTGGGGCAGATTTTCAAAGGGCTCCCCACATGGGGTGTCAACAGTAGGAACAATGGGATGAAGAGCAAATTTGTGCTGGACAATTTTGGTGGCTTCTTTGTAAAGAACAATAAAGTGACTAGATGAAGGGAGGTGCAGGGGATGGAACACAGGTGGATTTTGGTAATGAATTCGATGTGGCATCTTGCAATATCTTGAAAAATTAATTCAGGCTGGCTTGGGGAATCAGATGGTCAGGTTTTTGTCAAATCCAGGAATCTGAATCCAGAGTGTTTCAGATGGTTTGTGAACATTTTTCCCTTGATTTGTGTGTAATACCTGGGTTGATGTGTGTGTAACTAACCCCAGATCTGATGAAAAATCCCTTCACTAAGAACGACTAATATTGTCAAAGCCTCAATTATGCAAATGTCAATCCTTTTATTCCCTTTTGTGAAATAATCGATAGGAACCAGTAAACATTCACGGTCAACCTCAATCTCAGGAAGAAACCAAGCACTTAAATAGCAATGCACTGCAACAGTGCATCTACAACATAGGACTGACTGCACTTCAGCTCTACCTAAAGAGGAACCCTTCTTTTTTAATTCAAGAATCATATTAATTCCCTGGATCAGTTGGTACATCCTGACTGCATCTCCCCAGTAAAAATTCTCTTATCTTGGCTAAAGTTCTTCCAATCCCAAAATGTTCAACAGTATTGACATCATGGCCAGGGTTCCATGAAAACTGTGAGTGTACAGCCACTCAGGAGATTCAAATGCCACCCAGCTGATTAGCACAGCACCCACAGCTAAATTTTGTTTCTACTGATGGTGCACAGTCTCACATACCTCTATTCTGTATTCTGCATATGGATGGAAAAAATTCATACATGGTGGGAAAGATTAGAGGAAACATTGATCAGGACAACCTCAGAGCCTCTCTTTTTCCTACCTAGTGTTAATTCCAACCTCTTATATACTATTACATGTTTAAACTCCAAGCTTCCCCACTGTGACCAGAAAGCTTTTATTTGAGGTGATGCTACCTTCCAACGTGGTTGCATTTGCTAAATAATTTTCCAGTCATACAGTATGTGACTATCAGATTCCTCCCTTTGGGAAGAAAGCCGCTTTGCAGTCCATCCCTACAAACTCCAAATCTACTGTTCCATTGGATGAACCAAGTACTCTGTCATTTCCATAAATTATGTGGAGAGGAAAGACAGACATTTCATTCTGAAGTGTACACATTCCCTGGAGCAAACAAATGTCTTGCTTTTTTATTACAGTAGTATCTACAATTAGCCTCTCATCAAAGCAGTCTGGACAAAGGATCAAGCACTATTGTACTTGTAGTGAAGCCTGTGTGTGACAGTGAAATAGCACTACAATTCTGCCTGTCATCTAAAATCTAAAGAGCCATAGCAAGGGTACATTCTCTCTTCTAACCACAAACTTCCCTATAAGTAATGTTGACTGTTCTAGAGATTTAACCACTGAGAGGAATTCCGTTTAGATGGTGCAATAATTTCTATCTGGAGAACTTTGACTTTTGATATAATAAACCATTACCAATTCCTTTGTCAGTTACATTGTTCACTCCATCTCCTCCACTCTGTCCTGGAAATTATTTCTGCTAATTCCGGTTCTCCCTCCAGTGGCATCTTCTCTCCAATACTGTGTTGGACTGCAGCCTCATTCATTTGTGGATATATAGCCTCCTCTTTGTGACTTGGCCCTCCAGCTAGGTCACTTAGGTCCTCCCCTTCAAGGGAATTAAATCTTTCCAAATTTGCTGACTGCCTAGCAGATTTTATGCCCTGACCACTCCCCAGTGGTGAACAGAGGAATCCAGGCCTATCTTCCACAGTGGGTTCTAGTCCAGGGACCTCTGGGCTTTCCTCCCCAGCCCTTGCTGCTCCTTTCCTGAATTGCCTCCTACTACTAGTTCTCCTCCTCCCTTTTCCCATGAAGTGACTACATCCAATAAGCACTGCAGTCTTCAAACCAGGGGAAAGAAAGATCCAGCTTGCCAAGCCTTTTAATCTGGCCTGTATCATTGCAGCATGGAGCAGCTTCACTCTGACTGCTTCCTGTGGGGGGGGGGGGGGGGGAGGGGAGATGAGGGCTTTGCACACTGCACACACCCCGAGCAAAACCCTTCAGTTCCTATTGGACAGAAACCAGTTGATAGGAATGGATAAATTTTGTTGGGGGTAGGGGCAGTGCAGCACAATTTCTCAGCTCCCACTGGCCAGTTTCCAGCCAATGAGAGCTGACAGATTTTGCTAGGTGGC